TTTATTAATGATGGCTATTCTAAGCTACAACTCACTTTCAAAAATGTCTCCAATTCTTTTTTGCCTTAGATTAACTGCATATTCCAACTTTGGACATGACATTATATTGCAGGGTTTAAATAAATGTAGATAAGCTGGAGTACAAACTGGAACTTGTTTGTCATGAATGAGAATCAAGAGAAAAACACAATAATGCGGTGCTATGGATCCATCTTTTTCATTGTACAGTTAATAAATGACTTGCATTACAGATACTGTATTACTGTCACTGATGAATACAAATGAGGTGACAGGGCCAGGTTATTCAATGTGGTTTTCTGATTGTGTTTATTGTATTTTCATTAGACTGATGTGTATTGAGAGAGAGAAGCAGAAGGCAGAGGACAGACCCAAGGTTATTGATGTAGGCTATTAGCCCTGAGCAGCCAACTGTCAATGGGGACCCCGGCACCGCTATTTAAACAATGCACTAAACATGTAATTGCAAACAGAACATTATTACAGGACTGAATTTTAAAGCCTCTGTGGATCCCTAGTGTGATTTAATGCCCTGTCAGGCGTTTACACTGAAAAATTACTGAGTGATTTAGTGGTGACCCCAGTGACTTTTCCTATAGATGGAAAAGGGAAGTAAAAAAGGGCAAGAAAAAAGACAGGAGATACACTTAATGGGAGCTAGTAGATTCAGAATAAGCAAAAGTAGGTTAAGATAAGACAAACTATAAGCTTTCCAACAATGTGTGTCTGGCAATGGATGCTTTAAAATAACCCAAAAACAAAACAAAACAAAACAAAAAAAAACCCCATTGTCCTCAAGCTCACAGTGAAACCTGTAATTGATTCATACCTTTCCCCTCTCCTTGGACTGACTTTATTTCTGCCTTTGCCCTCCTCTTGACCCTACTCGGCCCTCCATTTTTATTCAACCCACTTCCCTCCCTGCTTTTTGCCTCTCTAATTAGCTGCATTAGCATTTCACAGTCATTTAGTGCTTCGCCGGAAGGAGCTACGATGACCTCGGAAGAGAGGTTGGAGAGGGCTTACACACAGCAAGCACACAGATGCTTGCGTGAGAGTGCCCATTTATGCATGCACGAATGAGCACACTCGCACCGAAAGACACCAAAGATGACTCAAAGCAAAGCAGCTGTTTGAAAACAAAATGAATGAGAAGAATTGAGCAATACAAAACAATGTGGACAGGGCAAGAAACAAGTCAAAAACAGTGAAAAGAAAAAGGACTGTATAATTTCAGATGAACTAGAAAAAAAAGAAAAAAGAAAGAGTGGCTTTAAGATATAAAGTGGCGGACCAATCTGACAAAAGGAGGAGAAGAACAAGAGTGCAGAGCTGCAGGGAAGCATCTCCAGGGATCACATCACCAGCAGCATTCCTACCAGACAACACCAATCTCCAATTTCCCCCTGAAACAGGCAGGCACTCTGCTCTCCTCAACCAACTTGGGAGCACTGCAGATAGCCTCGGCTGACGAAAGTATTACAGCAGCACTGCAACAACACCCATCTTCCTGTCTGCAATCAAAACCTACAACTCTGACAGCTTGTATGCATAGGTGCATAAATAAATGTTCCATCTGCATCAGTTAGGTGTAAGAATAAGAGCGAACGCCAGAGAGTATGTGTGTTCTGTATCAGTTCAGGTATATGGGTTAATGTGTGTTATGTGTGACCCTCTCGTTTGCATGCAGGTGCTCTTGTGCATATTTCTGCAGGTTGTTGCCATGTTTCAGTGCACTGATCTTAGGAGGATTTTATACTGTCACTCTTGAACAGGCTGCGTGTAACAATGTAAGTAAAAAGTCAAGTCTGGAGACACTCTTTAGATCGAGGTTGTTCGTGCGAGAGGTAAAAGAAAAAAAAACAAAAACAAAAAACTTTCTACATACCCATTCTGCATCGCTGTGGGGTCATACGTCAAAGCCATACCACTCTGGAGAAAGAAACACATACACCGAAATGTTAAATACATGACTTGCCTTTTTAACCAATTTGTGTTTGTGGTCTTTATCACATATACAGCTACTCTATACAACTAAATAAACAATAAAGTATGATATACCTATTGTACGTTATAATGCATAATGAACAGAGAAAGCAAACTATACAAGAGTGTTGTACAAAAAACACAAAATTCAAAAGTGACTGGGATATAAGGACCTACTGAATGAACAATAGATAAGCAGTCTAAAGACTCCAAAATAAGCCAGCTAAAAGCTCTTATGTACAATAAAATTATTTGGAATAATTGCCTTTGAGCAAAAGAGCCATTTATAAGTGCAGTCGTTTTATTTAACATGCTCAACAAAATCAAACACATGAAGGTCAGTGAGGGACGATTGTTGCATGTGGTATATGACTATATAAAATAGGTGGGAACAAAATAAGTTCCCAGTTCTAACTGACTCTAAATTTTAGCAGACCAAAGACAGTGGAACGTTTTAGATTTTCTTTACCGTTTCTCCTTAAAGGTTTTTAAAAAGACAACTTTTATGGTATGAGTTTAACTCCACTATCTGGCTGGGCTTTTCTGGGTTTACGTGGGTTCTCTCCAGGTACTCTAGCTACCTTCCGCAGTCCACAGACATGCAATTACTGGGGTTAGGTTAATTGATAATTCTAAATTGCTTCTATGAGTGCGACCCTGATAAGGATAAGTGGAAGAGAATGGATGGATAGAAGTTTTATGGTACTTTATTTTCTTTTACAAAAATCAGTTCACACTATACCATGTTTGATTATCCTGAGGAGCATTCAAATAAATAAACAAGACATTAAGAAGTTGCACTACCACCTAAGTCAAACAAATCCACGCTGGTTGGCATTAATGGAGGTAACAGCCCAACATAGGAAAGTTAGAGATTACTCAAAAGTCCATAAGAAGGGTGTGGCTCAGGAGGTAAGTGACATCTGCTCAGAAGGCCAGTTGTTTGATCCCAGCCTTCTCTAGTCCAAGTTGAAGTGTTTTTGGGAAGCGCCCCCCATGTTCCTAACACACATTTTATCCGTGTGTGTGCCTGAGAGTGTAAGAGATTTTTTCTACACAAACTGTCACAAAGTAGAGTACCAGTGTGTGTACTGTATGGATGAATGTGGCTCTTTCAGTGGTAAATAAGATAATGTTATATAATAGCAATAACTAACACACACACACACACACATACACACACACACACACACACACACACACACACACACACACACACAGTCAAAAATTGCCAAAAGCACTCAAACTACTCACTGAAACAGCCCAAACTTTTCTTTTTGATCCATTTTTTGAGTTAAAGGTTTTTTTTCCCCCAACAGCATTATATTAGTATATTTCTATATTCCCTCTGTCCCTTCTTCCCTTCATAAAGCTGTTATTAAATAGTGACTAAATATGTTTAGCCAAGCATTTATCAGTGACACTAGCCCCTTTGTGGTTTCTGTCTGTGTCTCACTCCTTCTACCATGTTCAAATGATTGAGGCTGGGCTTCTCTTTGAGGTTTGAATAAGATCTGCTTCCACTTGACTACCTCTTGGCAATTCTGGACCAGACTTAAAACAACTGTTTGCTCCTAATCTTTTTTTTTTACTCTGTCACCACCCCATCACCATCTATCGGCCCTGCACAAGTCATTTGTACTTATTCTACATTCTACACAAGGCTCTTCTCTCCAAATTGGCACATGAGTTGAAAGGGTGCCCTGATGCTGAACCCAGCTCAGTGTTTGGTTTTTCCACAAACACTGTTTTAGCCAAGCCTAGGCTGGGTAGGTAGGTATAGACTCCAGAAGCAACAAAAAGCACTGCTAGACACCAAATAGAAAAACTGATCAACTCCAGGGATTTGCATTCATCTAACAGCAAATCTCTTTCTGTGCTGCTACACAGCTGCATGCGTATCCCTTATCCATTTTCCAAAACAAATTCTGTAAGCGTGTGATTACATGTGTAACGCACGTATTCACGTCACCGTACCAAGGCCAGACTCGTATCAGAATGAGTTGACTGAGATAAGTAGGCAGTGAAGCACCTCAAAGCATCTCCCTGGCCAGATGTCTCTATTAGCAGAAGTATTAGTTTATATAAGTCAGCCTGGACTCTGAGGCCTGGCTCTGACAAATGCATAAACCTCTGAAGAGATGCTTCAGGGCCGAGCGGGGCTTGTCACGACGTGTGCCACAGACAAATGTGTGAGGTGTCTCACTGAAAGCAGTCATCACTTATTTCAAGTTCACACAGACATTGACAAGAGGGAAGTACGTTAACGGAAAACTGACATGTGACAAATCGTCGGTATGTTAGGCGTTCAGAGGCATGACAGTGGTTTTGAATGAATCTATACATGCACATATGTTTTTTCGTTGTGTTCATGAATCACTTTGGAAAACACTACCTGATAGGCTTTAGGTTAAGGTTAGAGGTAGACAGCTGGAGCACGTGTTACCACCGCGAGTGCCATTCTATTGGATTCAATTGAGAATCTGGAGTAAGTGGAAGGCTACCTTTCAGGTTACTACGAGATGCATTGGGACGTGACAAATTGTATTTTACGCGTTGGGAATGAGAGTGCTCTGGAAATTAAGACATACAAAACCGGCACAGCTCCATAGTATTTTTATCTAGCAAATGAATGCCTGTATTTAAGCGAAATCTGAATAAAATGACATATTCACTTTACCCATTTCTGCAAAGCTGTGTGGACGTTAACCTGCATTGAAAAAAGGCTGTATGTGCTTTAACTGCTCATTTAGCTACACTCTCCAAGCAATGGCACTGCGTATGTGAAATCCACTGTGCAAAATACCACACATTTAATTGTGAATACATTTAAGTTGAGCTTTTTAATAATGTGATTAAGGTATTTACTGTGGTGGTTAAAGGCAGATGCATTTTTTGCAGGGATGTTTAACCTTGGCCAGCAGACTTTGCTCATTTCTGACTGTTTTATGAGTTATGTTTTATACTATTCAGTTCGAGGTTTTTTTTGTTTTTGTTTTTTTTAACTCCCATTCCTAGTTGATGACACATTACAAAAAATACCACCAAAATTGATGGTATGGTGGTGCAGTGGTTAGCACTGTGGCATCACATTAAGACGGTCCTGGATTTGGCAGCCTGTTCTCCCTGCATGTTGTCCCTGTGTGGGTTCTCTCCAAATACTGTGGCTCACTTCCACAGTTGGTAAAATGAAGTGTGCATGGTTGTTTATCTCTTTGTGTTAGCCCTGTGACAGACTGGTGACCTGTTTAGGGTGTGCCCAGCGTTTCGGCCAATGATAAGCCAGGCTATGACAAACACGTTTGCTCTTATACAAAAAGACGAAAGCTGCAATCTGTGCCTGCTCCACACAGCCATGAGCAAAGGTCAAAAACTGCAACATCTTGTTTTCATTGCGGCGCCTCTTGTTACAGTGCATAGTTTCAGCCTGGTTCCATTTCATTTCACTCCACCACCCTGCTCTTTCCCAACCTTCGTGTAACGAGAACACTGGGAAACTGTTAAAAACTGCACCGGGGTGTGTGGGTGGCAGCATTATTATTCACTTCCCCTTGTTCTGTAAATTAAAGCTTTGGTATTGACACTAAAAACTTTTGAACTCTCTGCATTGTGAAACAGTCAATCTGCTTTCAATCCTTTGCACAAGGTTTCATTTCTTCTGAAGATGATGGACAGGAGGTGGGAGTTTCAACAAAAGCAAAAACAACTTTGCAATTGGGACCTTACAGAAACCTTATACTTTAAATTTAACAACCTTTTTGTGTGCCAGCTTTCATACTGTCAGCAGCATCTCTAACTGAACCTACAGTGCCTTACTAGAAATGAAAGTGGATAATGACCCCACGGAGAGGGGGGGGATCTGTCAAGCTATTATGATTTTAAATTCTGCGGTATGTTGAAAAAAAAAAAAAAATGGAGTCAAAGGGAGCATCAGCCGCATATTGAAAATTATTAGAATAGATGATTTACAACTGTAACGTTTCCTAAAACATAATATGGACACCGCTGTGCATAATCACTCATTTCTTTGACTATTATAATAAAAGAAATGTTATCCTTCAGCTATAAAACTTAATTGAAAGAAGTTTAAATGATTTTTTTTGATAACTGTAATTTCTCTTTTTAAAGTCCTCTCAGTAGACTTGTGTTCAGTTTTGTTTTTTCATTTTAATTGAGAAAAGCAAGAGACTATATTTGACAGCAGGCCAAGAGAATATTTTATGAAGTCTCCCAGGGAGCTTTTTTTGATGATTAAATATATTTTTAAGCCTCACCTCTCCTTCCCGTGTCCACGATCGTCCATTCTGGGGATATTTGACCTGGGTCTGTCTCTTCTTCTGGCCTCCATCAGCAAACTTGCACAGCAAAGGCTCTGAGGGAGCTATAGAGTGAGACAAGGACAAACACATTTATAGATTAATCACCTTATAAGTAGGAGAAAGTCAAACTATATGTTTTAGGTTAAATTTAAAAGATTACACTTAAAGTGTTTTATGCTACAGCTTAAATAAACTAAAAGTTAGTTGGTCCTGAAAGCAGCACTTCAGCTCTTAGATTTATCTCAGCCACCCGTAATCCAAACATTTACACAACACTAGTTATCACCCCATCTCTTTTTAGCCCCTCCAACCATGCTTTCAAAACAGCAACGCTGACGTAGGAACAAAGCCACAGGCTAATCAATAGTGCATGGTGTGCGAGGTTCAAACAGCAAACCAAACAGGCATACTTAATACGCTAAATAACGCCACGTGGTTTGACCCATGGGTAACAGACTGCAATTGTAAGTCCTCCAAAGAAAATACTGTCCCTCGCTGGACGAGAGAAAGAAGAAATGTTTGGTTACAAATAAGATTAACTTACAGTGACCTTCCATGTCTAAGTTCACCAAGCTTAAACTGAATATACCCTCAGGGTTTGTGAACAGAAGGAAGTTGTCAGATTGTGAGAGGATTATCCAAAGAAAAACTAAAAGTCTGTGTTTACTATGATTTACTTTAAAGGCATATCTTTAAAAATGGTTAGAAAGCAAGCAGGAGTGGACAGTTACTTCATTTTCTGGGAAATGCTTCAGAAGCCACATGTCTTAACATTAAAACATATTACCATAACATGAACCAGGACACTCAAATAAGATATCTGATGCCTTGTCTATTTAGAGGATAAACAGACGCTAATCTGTTTTATGGCAACTGTGATGCTAGGGCATATTTCTTAGACTTTCCAGCTGCAGTTTAACCAACTGCAGCCAAAAACATGTACCCTTCACAACCAGCATTTTGCTTCACATATTTGACTGATTAAGTAAAGAAATGTGCATGGCTATTTACATTGTAGATTCTCATAGAAGGCATCAAAACTATGAATGAACACATATGGAGTTGCGTAGTAAAAAACAAAAACAAAATTGATTTTAGATTCTTCAAAATATCAATCCTTTGCTTTGATCACTGCATTGCACACTCTTGGACTGTTGTTTCTCTTTACTTGGCTGATTGGTTCTTGCTATAATATGAATTCTAACATTCAAATAGGACTGACAGCTGTGTAACAAGCTGACTTCTGCACAACACAACTGATGGTGCCAACCCCATTAAGAAGGCAAGAAATTCCACAAGTGAACCCTGATAAGGCACATCTGAAGTGAAAACCGTTTCAGATGACTACGTCAAAAAAAAGTCATTGAGAGAAGTCCGACAGTTTCTTTGAGGAATCTACAACATAAAACAAATTTAGAGTTATTTATTAAAAATGTTCTTTGCTACATAATTCCATAAATCTTGCTTCATGTATTTAATGTCTTTAGTAAGTATCTACAATGTAGAAAGTAGAAAAAAGAAAGAAAGAACACATTAAATGAGAAGGTGTGTCCAAACTTTTGACTGGTAGTGTATATATTTAAAATATTCCATGATTTAAAAGCCATTAAGCTTGTATTTACCCTAAAGGAGACAAAGATCAAACAAGAAAGACCCGCCAACAAATACAACTGAAGTAAAGTCCTGGCAAAGGGGCAAACCCATTACTGCTGTTCACAGACTCCAAGTATTTTTTTTTTAACCTTTGTTTAACTAGGAAGTAAAATTGACATTAACGTCATCTTTTTGTGAGACTGTCCAGGACTGACATAGGCAGATTTAACCTGGCATGTTATTTCGTTTTATTCTCTCCCCAGTGGTAACTGAAATGAGCTCACCCACAGAAAATGTATACAAGCAGAGAGGGTTGAACCCAGAGCTCTGGCTCTGAGGCAACAGTGCCCAAGCATTCACTCGTGGCAATAGATTCTTAAAGTCTTAAAAATTTGCATATTATTAATGATTATGTTAATTCATCCAACTAAATCTAGGTAACTGAATGTAATTTTTCCGAACTCTTGAAATATAGCTTTAAATATGTTCTTCGGTTAAATCCATACATACATCAATTTTCTGCTGTTTATACAGGTGCTGCAGAGGCAGAAATTTAAGCAGAGATGCACAGGCTTTCCTCTTCCCAGAAACCTCCCCAAACTCTCCTTGGGGGAAACTGGAGCATTCCCAAGCCAAAGAGATACAATCTCTCCCGCGTATCCTGGCTCAACCCCAGGGCTTCCTCCCAGCTGGACCAGGAGTGGGCACTCCAACCTTTCTGATCGAGTACCACAGCATCACACTTATGCTTATTCTCATGCTAAGCGCTTCTTATTTGGCGTGAGGTGCTACAGTGCAGTGAGGTATTTGCTTCATAAAGACAACAGAACCATAATAAAAAAAAAGCAGAAATGAGATCCTAAGACCACCTAACCCAACACAGTCTCCACTTATCGCTGTCCTTAGACAATCTGTTAAAAAAAATTAATCCAGAAGCACCTTTGACGTGGGCAAAAATCTAAAGGCTAAGGCCAACCATCCGGCCAGAGTCTTGAGGTACTCCCAAGACCTGGCTCCAGAACGGGGCTCCCAGTACCCAGAGGTTTTCTTCTTTGTAGGGGTCTGGCTCATCACCTAGGCCCAATGTGCCTTAACCTCCTAGGACCTGGCGTCCACATATGTGGACATCACATTTTAAGTTATTTAAACCAAAACATTTAATTTTGCTCTACTAGGGCCTGATATCCACTTACGAGGACATTATACTGCTGCTGTTCTATCAAAATTTTAAACGAATATCCTCATATGTGGCTCTCATTTTTCTTAGGAACAAAAATCAGGTAAAAAAAAAATAAAAACATCTGGTAATTCTTTGTTTTTACATTCATCGGGTCCCAATCAGCCCAAATATCAAAGAGAAATTAAAAATGAATCCCATGGAAGAGTTCGGGTCTTAGGAGGTTAAAGAGACTCTACCGAGGGCATATTGCCCTTGAAAGCACTAGGAACTACTCTTCGAGGTTGCATCTCAACTTTATATATATGTTGTGTTGGCATACAGAGCAATTTTGTCACTGTCCAAACATTTCCACATGCAACTGTCAATCTGTCACAGCCACCAAGGCAAATGTAATTTCTTTCTAGGATGCAAAAACTCTGAAGTGCTATACTGCTTCAGCAGAGGCAAACTGTTGGGACAAGTCTTCTATTTAGCTGGTAAAGACTACTCTAAACCCTGAAACTGAATAAGTCACATACTTTTATGCACTCTTAACCCCTAACAAGCCGCATACTTTTATGCAATGCCTCTGTTTTTTTTATTTTATTTTATTTTAATATATCCATAAGTGAGGTTTTAACTCACTGATCCATCTTTGACGAGGCTATAAGCTGGCACTCTGACATTACTGTCAAATAGGATAAAATGGCAAAGAAAGTCAAATCATCATCAATGTGTGTAGTATCGATTTTTTTTTTTTTTAAAGAAAAGCAAAACAACAACAAAAAACCAACTGCAAATTGCAATATCTTGAAGCTGGTACTGACTAACACATTATGAATGCCAGAATAAACTATGCAATTATCTTGCCTACTTCAAGAAAAATATTTCTTCATCTAAGTAAAGTGAAAAATGAGAAGAGGTATTCTCAGTGGAGAAAACCATTTAGAGCTTAAAGACTGAGATGAGAGCTCTTTAGAATGCCTGGGTCCATGACGGGCACTCTAAGGGTAATGATATAAAGACACATTTCCATTTGATTATAACACATTTAGAAGAACTTTTTTCATTCAACTATGTTAACTTGATTTTGTCCAACAGGTCACATGGCATAGCCTTCTGTTGTCATCCTTTGCTTTTCATCTTTCTGAATCAATCTGCTTCTCGTTGTCTTTTACCCGCTCTGCTTCATGCATTAAATGACCTTTACTTTTACTAAAATCACAGATAGTCACATGGATGCAACAATGGATGGACTGAAGATATTTGGGGAAAAAAGAAAAGTGGAAGACATCAGTTCACCTACCACATTAAGTTTAAAGTTATTATAATAAATTATGATCAAAAATAGTTTAAAAAAATATCACATTTATATTTTTGATTAGACATAATAACTAACAAAAATACAATCATAAATTCTAAGTTATTTCTTATTAGACATGTGTCCTGTGATTTCTATTTTTTAATGTGAAAAGCTATCTACCATTAACAGTGGCACTCAATTTAAAAATAAAGGCTTCATTTGTTATTTTATTTGTTATTTTTTTCCGCTCACAGCTGTGACAGACAGAAGGCCATGCTATTGATGGCAGATAATTTGTCAAGTTTATATTTGCGATACTTTGTCTGTGTTCTATAAAGACAAAAACATCAGTTGATTGAAAATAATTATACATTAATTATGTGTGTTTTGAAACTTTCTTTTTATTTTCCAGCTTTAGCACAGTGTGTTTTCTGGCACAACAGATGAAAACAAGTTTCTTTTATTGTTAGAATTAGTAATTAAAAAAACAAGTACCTAAACATGAGAATGGAGAATTGTAAAGCATAGATGTCGTCACCCATAGATGTGACAGCTGGCTGCTAAAGGATGAAAAACAATCTTTTAATCTCAGAGTTTTTCTGGATTGGTTTTTCTTCATTAATGTTCTTGATATTCCTAACAGCAACATCCAGTAAGCAAAGCAGCAACATGACAACAAGATATTCCTGTGAGGTAACTACAGGAGTTGCATTGACCTTATTTAATTGTGTTTATTTTAAGGCCCTGAAAGCAGCACACATTTTATCCACACAGACTTAAAAATGTAAAACATTTTTTGCTGTCAGCTGTTTATATACCTGATCTTATGAAATGACTCAAACATTAAACACCGGCCAGCTGCTGTGGGCCACCGTTTGCAAATGCATATGCATCAGTAAAGTTAGACCGATTTGGCTGCATCAGTGCTATGGAGCTGCTGCAGGGGTTGAATATATTAATCTGGGGAGACAAATTGGAGAGTTTCAGAAGCAGTTGTTTCTGTTTTT